CTTTAGAATGTAATTTGTGTTTAAATAAAATCGTTCACAAAATGATCTATTTCAAATATATGTGATAAATGACGTTGTTTTCCAAATAATATAATAGATTGACTACTGTAATTCATTGTAAAATGTTACAGTCAAGGAGTTCAAATATTACTTATGAAATCAAAAAGATTTCTTTATAAAGATTTTTTTGGTGATTGGAAAATTATTTTTTGATTACTGTTTTTTAAGAGATATATAAAAAACTATAGTATTTGTTGTTATTAAGATTGTTTGTTAATAAATTGATGATCCTTGATGTACACTATTAAATCTAATGTTACTTACTTGCTTAACCTAAAAATAAAATATTTAATAATCATAGGTACTATCATGAAAGCTGGTCTCTGCTAATAATCATGTTTCCAAATAATGATTTATCGACAGTCAAGAATACCTAAGAGGCAAATCATATATCAAGACTAAATAAATGTAACACGCTTGATATAAAAATAGAGATCAGAAAATACTTATAGTGAAACATTATATGTTCTTAATTAACCAATTATACATATTTTTTCACTTTTTAAAAGTTAATGGATTTTTAGTAACGTTAGGATATATTTTTTTTGAAGCATCAGAAACAAAAACTTCTTGTTTTTAATTTGGAGGAAAAATTTAAAAAAAAGCGTGACTATGACTATTGAAAAACTTAAATAAAATAAAATCACTAATTAACCCAATTCAAAAGTTGCGTTGCTTCAAGTTATAAGTCCTAACTTAACCTAACCTCACTATTTCTTCTGAATAATTACATAATTGAAGATAAGTACATGACAAAATGWCAAAACATATATAATAAAAATGTGGTGATGCGATGGAAGAATAAGTTTTTAAACGTAGATTTTTCATAGTATAAAGTATAAACTACTAATGATATTATTAACTAAATTCGATATTTTTATATAATTAATTTAATACCAATAAAAAATTATAATTGTAAGTATAATGAATAGCGTTTGATACATTAATAGTTTGTCTAAAATAAGTCTTTAAATTTGTTCACTTTTGATTGATTGTTGTTGATTTACATAAACTCGATTTATTATCGTAAAATAAATTTAAAATTGAAATTCCTCCAAAGAATCTAATCAAACTAATAAGATTATTCCTAATCCTTTTTAATTACTCACTTTTTAAAATTATATTTTCACTATTTGATTAGCTATTAGTTCAACAATCAGCAGCAGCATCAATTACATCAAGGATGATATTACTACTGTCATGTTGCTGAAAAACTTACTTATCGTCGTCATCGTCTTCGTCTTCGCTATTTCCGTCTTCTYCGTCATTATCTTCACCATAGTATTCGTCGTCACTGTCCTCAMCCTCATCATCTTTTTCATCATATTCCTCTGCTTCATCGTCGTCATCTCTTTCTTTTTTCTGACTGACATTGTTACTCTCATTATTACTGTTATTAGGAATGGTAAAATTTCCCATATAGCTGTTAATCCAACTGATATTTTTTGTTATATTATCACTATAAACGTTATTATTTTTCATCTTTACTTGTACAATGTCATTCTTGAAACTTCTTTYTGAGTTTGGCCGATTGCTATCAATATCGTGTCGACGATATCTACCACTGGAACTGCGATCACCACCACCGTTTCCAATACTAGTATCGGAATTACTTTTTTCACTGCCCAGATTTTGTTGGTGGCGTTGGTGTCCTTCCTCCCGCTGCGGCTGTTGTTGATCCTCTGATTTTTCTTGGTCCCGATTACTGGTCCTCCATCTCCTTCTCCTCCGTTTTCGTAAACGCCGGCCACGTGTCCTAATGCCTCGACCTCGATTTCCATCACTTACACTGGTAAAACATTCTGAGGTAAGATATTGTGTGACATGACTGAAAATCGAGTGAAGTAGTTGGTGGTGGTTGTCTATCGGAGAACCGTTTTCTATATCTGTCGCCATTCTTGAATTACTTAAGTCTGCATCTGGCATTACTAGCTGTGATAGTCTAATGGCTCCAACACGTGTAGGAAATCCCCCAGCGACTCGTTCACTATATGCTGTTGAATTATTATTTCGGCGTCCATTACTATTGACAATTCCAGTATGTATGAATTGTTGCTGTTGCTGTCGCATGACTCCTCGAACTAGCATCATCGAATTCTGTGGATGTATTGTAGTATCTGCGGTACCATGTATCACTAATAAGTTTATTCCTTTTCCAGTAGAAGACGGTGACAATGACGTCTCGTTTAATGAGGATGTTAATGGTATTAAGTCTGAACGGTCATATGACATCCAATTATCTCTGTCATTTTCACCGTAGTAACCATAGTAACGTTCGGCAAATGCAGAAGCTACAACATACCATTGATATCGTTAATATAACACTACCAGCAACTACCATTAATAAATGTAATATGTATAATATACTCACTATATAGGCGCCATGAACACACAGGTGCCATAGATACAGCACACTTGAATGAAGAGCGAATTGCCACAGGCTCCTTAATATTTYCTTTGTCACCAGATTCATCGCTTTTTTTTTTAATTGGTGCACCACCATAAATTGTTTGCCATAAGGCCATTCGAGCAGCGGCATATCCACCGTAGACTGATGGTGGAGTTGAAGGCGATGTTGGTCCACCGCCTAATAATGCTACTTTGCTTGCATCTACGTATGGCAACCGTAGTGCTTCGGTATTTGGTTTTGTGTCACTRGCACTTCTACGGTCTCTACGACTTCTCTTAACATCACTATCCTTGTAAAAACTATCTCCTCGGTTATCATCACCATAGTCACCATTATCTCCATCATTGCTGTAGTAATAATAATAATAATCTTCGTTGTCATTTTTRTCGTTGTTGTCATCATATTCTTCGTTATCATCATAATAGTCATCATCATCGCTATAGTATCTTCTATTTGATTGTGAAGTCGATGAGAACCATCTAGAACGGTCACGGCTACCACCACCTCTTGGGCGATCTTCGCTGTAATACCCTTGACCACTGTCTTTAAAACCATCACTGGTAGCGGTAGAGCTTGAAAGCAGGTACTCAACTGCTTCCAATTGATCACGAAGATCAGCAGTACCAAGGAGTCCACTTGGTCCGACATCGTCTTTTCCGCTATTGTCTCCATCTCCATCATTAACATCTCCAAAATTTAAGGCCAACAATGACTCATAACCTCGAGCCCATGTTCCTCGACCAGTATCTATCACGGCCACTACGTACTCATTATTATTAGAGTCATCATCATTATTTTGATCGTAGTCATAAGAGTCGTCATCGTAGTCATCTGAATGTCCTGAGGAATAATATCTAGTCTCTGAAGATCTACGACCCCRACGTCCTCTCTGCCGCTGACGACCCCATTCATTTTCACTGTACCTTGGGCCAGTTGAACTTCTAAAATTAGCATTCGGTAGCGTTCTACCCAATGAACCAGAGCATAGTAATCCTGTTGTATAGCCCAATCGATCAGTAAATCGATCAGTGATAGCCTGTGATCCTGGGTCTGAATTAACTACCACAAGCATAGGATATAACTTTTTCAAACGATGTTGACGTTGCTTTTTGCGTGGTCGTCGTTGTCGTTTTGATCCATCKCCACCATTATCATTACTATTATGTGCAGAAGATGCAGACGACGACGACCGTCGTCGACGCCGATGACTGTGCTTGGTTGAAGAGCTGTCACTGGTTTTAGCAGTTATTTCGGTATTAGTTATATCAATTTTATCAGAGTTTCCAGAATTTCGGATATGATTTGACATAAATTCTGGGCGAGGATCAGCCTCAGGGTCGTAAACGCCTAATGGTARATACAATCGAACCTGTGCCACGGTCAGGGGATCTGAATCCGGACGTTTTTTAGTTGAAAAATGTTGCTGATGGTCACCACCATTACTATAATAATCGGCTGCTGCAAGTGGGTCGTTAAAATGTAATCCTCCTGAAGTGGTCAGTTTACGACCGCCGGAGAGTCTCAACTGAAAAGTTCTGGTACCCGGTAACAAAACTCGATTCGTGTATTTGTCCTGCAAAATCCATGACAAATATTACATTAGTTTCTATACTGCCTTAAAAATCATCTTAAAATTTTACCTGTAGACGAGTGTTATTTTCAATAAGATCAATTAATTCAAAAGAGTAGGAAGAATCTTTAGGCATTTTTTGTGTAGTTAGTGGAACGCTGTCTGGTTTATCACTACTGCCACTACCCTCACTATTGTCTTCAACGTTCTCAACATCATCTAATATGATTCTATGCAATGTAACATAAGGAACTGAAGGGCCCAGACACATCAAGGCATAATGGCTACCATCCCGAGAGAATTGTGCATCGAAGTATGTACAGTGTCTCAACATTCCACGATTCTGCATTTCTCGTTGCTGTTGTCGACGATTCCGCTGTTGACGGCGTTCTGCTTCTGTATGGAAATCATAAATTATATATGTATGTGTTATCCAGTTTATTCAAACCTCGTATTACCTTCTGCCGTAGCAGCCTCCTCTTCATTGTCTTCTTCCTCTTCCTTTAGATTTTCCCATCGTTCCCGTTGTTGTTGTCTTAACCGCCCGTCTCGTGCCTCATCCATTCGGTTCTGTTTTCCACCAAATTCACGACGCTCACGACGTCTTATATTTCCGGTAAAACCTACATCGCAGCTTAGACACATAGGCCTACTACGATTACTATGACGGAAAGTTTTACGGAACTGTTGTTGGTGATGGTGCCCCATTCGGTAACCGGCATCAGTGTTTATTGTAGATGAGGATGCTGCAGACGTAAACTTGACTGCGTATAAATGACGGTGGTGTGGTGCACCACGGCCAGATGGTACGGCAAGAAAGTAACTGCAACATGTGATAGAAAAAAACGACTTAAGAAAATAGTTAATGGCTAATAATTATAATATTCATTTGTTTATAAACGTTAGGAATTTTTATATTAGTTATGCTTATCAATGTTTAATTTATAAAAATATGTGATATTAACTTTATGTAGCTGTATTGAAAAGATAGTGAAACCTATTACATCGAACAAGATACATGAACAGATTTCAATACATTTCATAATTTTGATGAAATATTATGTCAACTTATTTTTAGGAATTTACGTTAAGGTTTAGTAAATATAATTTATTAATATTCTATGGGTAAATATGATTAGAGACTTACATCATATCCGTTCGCTGGTCCCATGCCAAAATCCTGACTACCGTCCAACTTTTAGTGACAACTTTACTTTTTTTGTTGTCTTCTTTACTGCCATCGTTGACGTTGTCGTCGTCAAATTCACCAAACGTTAGTGGTGCTAACAGTTTCTTCGTTATATTTACAGCTACAACTTGTGCATAATATTTTCCAATTGACGACTGTGACCGGCTTTTGGCATTTCGATCACGTGACGACTGAGTGTGTTGTTTTACAGTCGGTCGTCGGAGACGCACCCCTCCTTCGCTATCTTGGTCTTCGTTGTCATCGTGATCGTCATCGCGTACCGGCGCCACACTAACATATCCTTGACCATCCATTGCGAACACTGGCGCTCGGGGTGTAAGTTCTTTGTCACCCATTTCCCATCCCTTGCGAACTAAAACGGCCATAGAATACACAGCACCAGTCCCAGTGCTACCAAAACCAGCTATACCCGCGTATCCATCGTCGCCTACGAAGTTTTCTCCTCCGTCGTTGTTGGATCCGCCTGACCACGAAGTAGTGGCCGATATCATACGGTAACTGCCATCGCTGACACCACCTCCGGTTGAGGGAACTCCACCACCGGCCCCACCGACTGTGGCATCTACCCAACCACCATATCGTCCTMTTGGCATATCGTAGCTACTAGGGTCAATGTATCCATCTCGTCGCCGTCGGCTGTGGTGGCCGTTATGCTGATGTTGACWGCCATGTTTATGTTGGCCGTGCTGGTGTGACTGCCGGCGACGGCGGCGGTCTTCTTGGTACGACGAAGTTGCGTTGATACTGTTATTTTTCACTCCTTGAAAAGCTTCATGAGATGTTTTTTGCGACCCACTACCATTGCGCCTATATCGACGACGAGCACGATCATTGTCGAATGTCTCACTTCCTTGTCCTCCTCTTATGCCACTACCACCGCCAATAGCTCCAACCGCGTTAATCACTTGGGTCTATATCACAAAAATCATATTTTCTTATAAATAGGTATTCTACTGGTAGTATGCGCAATAATAGTGATATAGCTTTACTAGTATATATTAATTCACGTACCTCCTGACACATCCACATGGGTGATTTGCAGAGTGTTGTCACGCTTATGTTTTGTGCCCGGTTTAGCCATACAACGCAAACTTCAGCTGCCGAAGCACCCGATTTTTCATCGTCGATCTCGTGACTTCCACCTCCACCACCGACACCTCCGTCGTTTACCCATTGAACTGCCGTGAAATAGTAATCGCTATTTTATACGAAAATTAATTAACTGTTACTGCATACTCAATTATTAATAATTTATTTTAGTATCACCACTAACTCGGTATATTGAAAAATTGGCGGTGGTGTTAAAGTCCGTATTTTTGGTTGTATTTGTGGATTTTTTAGTTGATCAAGATTTACGATAACTGATAAAGTAACAGCGGGGTTTGGTGTGTTAGCCTGATTTAAAAAAAATAATGTTTATTAATTGTTGTATTATAAACTAACTAATTTGTTTATAGTCTTTTTCCATAAAGTTACGACTTACCTTTGGATATTTAAGAGTGCGTATGTGTGGGTATATGTAATACTCAGATGTACTGTCATCTTCCATCATATCTAGTGCTTCCTCAGATTTTGAATTTCGTCTTAAACGCCTCCTGCGTCGTTTCAGTTTTCGCTGCTTAGAATGTTTTTCGGTATCACCACCATCGACATTATTACGTTGTCGTCCACCCTTTGTGTAAACTGAATACTTGTATTCTCCCACCCGTCGATCATCAAACGTCGCGTACATTAGATACCGTCCGGATGATGGCCATATAGCTGGGGACCTCTTCAATATCTCCACTATACCAATACAAACGTACGAATTCAATATTTGTTTGATATTTTCAAAAATATTCCAATTAAAATATATCTTACTTTCATACAAATAATCAGCTACTCCATTGCTTACGATCCCGGCAGCGGTACCTGATGCACCGAACCCAGACGTGGTGATTCGACGAATTGGACCATAAGGCCATGGACTCCATTCCAGTTTACGAGATGTGTTGTTTTCACTAACATTGAATTGTTTATCGTTTAGTGATGGAGTGGAACGAGTCGTATATGAGAAGTTGGTGACGTTTGACGTCTGAGAGTCTATTGTGATGTTGTTTTTCTCGGTGTTGATACCCGGGGTAGCTGTTATATTAAGCGACCAAGGTACGTAGTACACATCGTAACGATACACAATGATCAATGCCATGGACTCAAAGTTTTTTTCAGTCACTGTTGAAATTTTTTGCCACTGAGCGTGCAGAAAGTGCGGCTGTAGATCAGCAGAAGTATTTCGGTAATTTTGATGGTCTTCCAACGTTAAAGGAGTCATTTGCCTGCAAAAATAAACGATGGCTATTATATTTTCGTTTATGAATTAATTGACTAACAATTGAATATACTTAATAATTGAAAAGTTGAAAGGAAAAAAGTGATTGTAGTTGTTTTGTACGTAGATGACTTACCTATTCAATTTAAAATGGTACTAAGTAGGTACATGTAGTAAAGTTCTTACTTTAAAATTTCATTGGCTTCATAGGTGGAAATAATAATTGACACTCCTATTAATTAAACATTTTCCGCACTTTAAAATGTTACAATTTTTGCCACTTTAGGGCATTTGCCCAATTATATCCCTTCTTAACATAGCTCTAAGTACTTGATACACTTCAGCTCCATCAAAATGTATAATTTATTTCATGTTTTAGTAAAATTATTTTCAATTTTAAGATCCATATTTGGAACATTAGAATTAATAACTAACAATAACATTATAACATATAATAAAATAGTTGATTTTAATCTTAACAATTTAATCTTTTATCTTGACCTATCATTCTTGCTCATACATTGTAAAAGGTCTCATCCAAGCACATTGTTTTCATTAGGTGTGTAAAAAGCTTTAGGCTCTACCATAAATAATTATTAATAATATATTAAATATATTATACAACTAGTATTTGTACACTTAAAAATGGAAAAGTGTTTGATAACTATTTGAATAGTACTAACCGGGTCGATACAGTGTACACCGTATAACGAGCCGTTTTTGAATATCTGAACAACTGTTAAAAAAAGAGAAAATCTATAGTTATTAATTTGAATTATTTATTATTTCGTACGTATAACAGTAAAAATATTACTTTTTTTGCATGATGACCTATGAGCACGTGATTACGATCAGGCGATAGTTCAAATGATACCAGCGGACCTTTTAATTTCTGAAAGATAAATAATAATATCCTTTTCATAAAATATTCATGTCTAAGCTACTACACTATATTATAATACCTGTAACATCTTTTTAGACATTATGTGGTGAGTRGTCTGCGTAATACCATCTGCCATAACTTCCATGATGGCCAAGTCACCAGTGCTGGTCACGTAAAATATCTCAGTACCAGAAATCCACGTTCCGTTGAATAATTTAATGTTTGCAGAATCTGACAGAATATCTGATAAGCGCAATGTCCTCATACCTCGGTGACGCCACCAAAGTTCATCGTTTGCTCGTTGGTTGTAATAGTAGTCCGAACCAGTTCTGTCACCATTTTCCAAGTCCGAGTACGAGTCCGAAAGTTCTTCAGGCTGAGGCGGAGTCAATAAAACTACAGACGTTACTATCATAGCTAAAACTGCGACGATGACCATAAGAGCTATAAATATCCCACGCCAGTTTCGACGCTGTTGGGCTGAACTCATCACGAGATCCTAAAAAGATAAGTACAACTTATGTACTTTTTTAAGTTTAAATTGTTTTTCTATGAATTGTATTGGGTGCTGCAAATTTTTCATATTAGTTACCTACTTATAAAGTTGTTGATTTCTGCCTTAATTTACTTATCAGGTACCCATATCAATCAATTAACTTACAGTTATATCAGTTAATAAATAGATTTATAGGTAGTTTATGTTGTTTGTCTGTGATARTCAGACAGGAAAAAATAATTCATTTTGAGATGTAAAGGATTTACAATAGGATTTAGTTTAGTTTCAACAAATGCCTAATATTTTATACTTATTGTTGTTATTTATGAAAAAATTGGMACTCAAAATATTTTATACGTTTCACAAAACACTGTACTTAATGATAAACAACTACTTATATATATAGGTATACTAATAATTATATATAGATAATAGTAGAATATACTAACTTAATATATTTTATACTATGTTATACATTCAACAATTACATTATTAATACTATTTTAAAATATTATTATTGTAATTAAATATTTAATTTAAAGCAAATTTTAGTTCATTCTTTGCTKATTTGATTTATACTTTTGTAGGTRTATAAGCTATCGCTAATATTTTAAGGGTAGAAAAAATTCTTGCTTCGGGTTACTAAATGTTTTAATCCCAATATGATAATACATAGTATTTAAATATGCTGTGTAAAAAAAAAGTTTTGGACCATAGCTGTCAAAATTCAAAATGATTTAATATATTATATATATGTGTCATTCTTAGATGACAGGTATTATATGGGCAATTTGTATTAAAAGTTAATAATTAATATATAATTAGTTTATTTACTAAGAAATTAGAAAATATTGTTTGTTGATTAATCAAATATATTGCATTATGTTTTTAGAGGAATTAAAAAGAAATTCCATTATTCGTCATAACAGAATAACGTTTTTTATTCCATAATTGCTTTGCGATGTTAGTTCAAATTTATGGTTTCGCATTTCATTAGTTATCAATATCAATCAATATTTTTTAATCAAAAAAATAATATATATATGTAGAAGTCTATACAATTGTATACATATACCAATAAAATGTTATTTCAAATAAATAATAAAACCAATGAAATAATAAACTCTACGTGAAAAAATTTCTAAAAAAATAGACGCGTATACAGCTCTTTGGTAACAAGAAACTCAACCTTCGATCATTGAAGGATAAAATACATACGTATCAATATAACACGTTAATCAGTGTCGTGATTAGAACGTTTGATGGAAAAATATCTAGCGAACCTTTAGTTTTACAAATTTAGGCATGTAACCCTACAGAGTAATTATGGTCATAGTTTTTATGTGTAAATATTTTGATTAGAATCATAAACTAAGATACTTCATAATATCTAGTATCTTGGACAGTTAGATTTATTATAAGTAAAGACCGGATTTATATGCATTTTAAATTGTAAAATATACATGCAAACATGCACTAAAACAAGTCAAAATATGAAAGAAAAAAATGAAAAACATGCAAAATAAAGTTTCAATTTTATATTAATTTTGCTGTGATAATTATTTATAAATTTTATAAAATTTTCATTAATAAAAATTAAGATGTATAATATATTAATATAAAAGATATGCAATACAAAAATKTTATTTGTTAAATTTTATTTTAAATTTTAATCATTGATACATTGTAAAAAAATATTTTATTAAAATGAAATAGTAGATGATACATTAGTGATATAAATAGGCCCTATAATCTGTGTTTTTTGTTTAAATATGCAAAAATACGCAGAACATGCACTAATGTCAGAATATGTAAAAATATGCAGTATAAAATGTTGATATTTAATCAATCAAGTAATGATTTGTGRACACTCATTTACTGCATGTATATGATGTTGTAGATTACAACATGCATTTTATGCAAAATCCGGTCTTTGATTATAAGTTTCATAATTATATTATAACGGGGCAATATTTCATAATCACTACAGATAGGTAGGTACCTAACTTATTAGTTATTATACGCGTGTATAAATAAATATGTAATTAAATAGATTGCTAACTCGTGAGTCATGATAATAGTTGAAGTCAATATTCACAATTTTTGTGAGGATTATGCCAGATGACAAAATATTGTCACAGATTGGGTTTTTAATTATATTTTAATTTTAAAGGAAGTTGTGAGTATTTTAAAATTGTAAATCGTTTTTATATCTAAAAATACTCATAACTCACTTTAAAATTAAAATATAATAAAAAACACATGAGATGCTCTCGGCAATAATCTTGCCTTTAATTTTTATAATAGATCAATTCACTCTAATTTTTAAAGTAACGGAGATAAACGTGATCTGCTAAGCGTAAAATTTGCTATGCTACGCACTTTTTCGACGGATGCGGGTGCGGCGTCCTTTTAACCGTTGTATTATAAGTTTTCACAACATGGTTCACGCAAAAATTACTTATTTTCGCAGTGCTATAGATTTCGTCTACAACTACACTGCCACACAAGTTAAAATTTACTTAACTATACAATATTACCCATAATTCTAGGTTATTGTATCASCGTTACACGTCATGTCAACAGTATGTTAAAWACATCGGATTTCATTCTCTTATACTCATATCCTATAATCTATATCATAGGTCCTTAACCAGGGGTCCATAGATGGTAACTCGGGGGTCTACGGAATAGCTGTGAATTGGTCCATGGACCAGAAAAGGTTAAGAATCTATGTCCTCCATACTCACATATATACTTATAGCTCGTTGACTGCGATTATACCTACTAACCAACCTTTTATTTTCTACCTGATTATACTATAATAATYTCCTGACAATAAAAGARAAAACGTTTATACGAGTACAATCAAAATTGTGGTGATTTATTTTACTACATTATGGATATTTTTCCACCCCATCGTCACCGTATCATGATATCGTATTTTCAGCCCATATCGTTGACATATATTTCGTATTTTATTATTGTTATTATTATCAGTGACGGTTTTATGAGTAACTTGAGTGGGATCGTTGCCTTTCCTGTGTAAATAACAAAAACATACTACGAAGTAATAACTCAAATAGTCATCACCAATCATCGTGGCTATAAAAATATGACATTTCTACAAAATAAAAAATAAAAGATTTATTGGTATGAATAGTGTATAATACGCACATACAATTTTTTTTTGTGTACTTATATTAACCGAAAAAAGTGAGATGTGTTGTTATATCTATATGTATCTAGGTAGGTATAAGTAGGCAAGAATAGCAGGTAAATATGAAATACATTTTAACTTCCTCTTGGGACTTGTAGAGAACAGCCCCTGATTAATATATAGACCATAATCATGTATACATAATGTATATAGTATAAATATTCAATATAGGTACATTTATATTGTAGATAAATACTACTATTCTTAGTGTCTACTGTCTAGTGAGATCATGGTTCATGATAAGAGCTTAGAATGTCGTGAATAAAGTTTTTTAGCATACGTGTAAATTAATAACTGCGTGGTTATAACATGTTGTATCATCAGTGACATAAATATTTTGAATATTTTATTCAAGTTACTTAAAAAAATCGAATTGACTATGCATATAATATTTAATATCATCAATTATACGATGAAAGTGAAACGTCGGTAAACCACGTATTTTATTTGTTTGATTTAAAATGTTTCCAAAGCTTGCAGAAAATTGTGTGCTTTTACATTTGTWGTACCTTTTAACAGTGATTTATTTATTTGTGTGATTTTTGCTCAATAAGTAATTCGGGCTCACTGTAATAATATGTTTGGAACATTTTGATTCTCAATGTTTATCCAAACTCGAAAGAAGAGATAAAAATATATCAATAATAACAATGGACGTATCATAATTTAGCAAAAGTCGTCAACTTCATTAATTATTATCGTTCGAGTTGATGAGGAGGGCACAAACCGCGAAGAAAACTATTGTTAAACGGATTTGCTAAAGTATTTTTTTTATTTTTGTCATCACTCACACCTATTATATCCCATGCACATTCCGCAGTGCAATATAATAATATTATGTTGCGGTTCTATCATAGCGCATATTCAACACGTTTCTCTGTAGTGCATGTAACCTAATTAGGTGGCATAATCGCATAATATTATGATTATGTGGTAATGTACTGTTTTCGTGCATAATAATATTACCTCGTCGTCGAAATGATCGCCCATGCCGGGACGTTGTCGGTATTCGGTCGCCATGGCCGCCGATCGGACCGACGGGCAGCGCAGTTGTGGCCGTCCGCTCTCAACGAACAATTATTTCAATCCGACGCGACGACGCCGCGWTCCGTTTATCCGGCGCGGTCAGCATCGTTGTGTCGCTGATTGTGTGYGTCGGTATTTCGGCTGACGGTGACGCACGACGGCGGAGGCGGCGCTGTTTGTGTCGATTCTACGGCCGTAAAAACCGTGTGCGAATGCGCCGGAAATGACGAGTGAGAAAAAGACACACCAACACGCACACACAGAGCGAGCGTGCAAGTGAGCGAGTGGCAGCGGACGAGTGATCGAGTGAGAGAGAGAGAAAGAATGATAACAGGACGCTGCGTGTTTACGCCTGGCGGACGAGCAGCGAACCTCGTCGGACAGGGTTGACGAACGAGAAAAACGCACTGCAGCGTATGAACTATGAAGCGAGCCCAAAGCGCCGACGTGACGACGACGCGCCACCRCCGGCGGCGGCGAGTACCCTAAATATAGATTTTATTTCACTGCGCCGTACGCGATCCTCGCAGCGACACCGACGCGAGTACCATACCCGTCCTGCGGACTTCATACCTACCTGTAGTTATCGTCTGTTGTCGTCATCCTTCTTGTCGTTGTCAGATAATAGCAACTACTAATTTATACAGCGATTTAACCGCGTTAGTAGTAATACGTTAGTTGTATTAGTTGTTTCGATGGCTCGGATGCCAAAACTGCCCATAAGTGAAAGCAACTTAATAAAACATATTATATTGCCCAATTTGTTTGTTAATTGTTATACCATCTAAACGTACCAATTATTATAGGTACCCATTATAGGAAGTACACAGACTCGAATATAAATTGTCGCCATAATGAAAARGGGGTTCTGTCCTTACACAATTTAATTATCTATGTCGTACATGATTTTATGCATTTAGGTAGAACGTAGATAGGTACTAAAAACTATTAGTTTATTGTTAACTAGGTTGAAAAGTGCAAATATAAATTTAAAAATATATAATATATTTATTATGTTCCATTAAAGGGCAAATAACTACCCTAATAAGGCATAGAAAAGTACGAAAGTGGCGCAACTAGGGCATTACTTGAAAATTAACCCATAGAGGCGTTACTTCCATACCGCTTACAGGGTGGCCCGCGAGGATTTACCCATTGCGATATCTCCCGAAATAATGAAGATATCGAAATTCTAGTTTTGTAATAAGACTCACAGGGATAAGAACTACGATTATTTTATACTTTAATGTTTTGGTAAAAAAGTTAAAAAATATATTATTTTTATTTAATTATTTCCAAAAAAATGCACTATAGCCATTTTGTTGATTTTATTTGTCTGAAAATTTTGAATTTTTGACGTTTCAAAATTTTATTTTCATTAGTTTTCTGATTT